TAATATAATAAGCCTTTTTTAAATTAAAAAATAAAAAACAATGAACTTGTCAGTTGCCTGTTAGCACTACGATCTTTATTTGTAAGTGAGAAATTTTAGATTCGATGCTACACTTATCACATTTTTATATCATATTTGTATCATTACTAATAAAGGTAGGACCCACCAATATGTGAATCTCATCTTTATTAAAGAGATGATACAAATGTGATATATATATAAAGAATTGTTGTGGCTTATTTATATTGACTTAATGTCAATTATAATCCAACATAGTGGAGGAAAATATGTTCAAGGAAGTATTTTTTTAAAACCAACCGAAGAGCGAAAAAAATTTTGCGAGTGTCTAATTTGATTGAAAAGGATTAGAACGTCTGATAAAACAAACATAATGTATCTAACTCCCCAACTTTGATCAATCTAATTATGCCCACTTAAGAAAGGTTCCTGCTTATCCGATTGTTATTTAAACCCATCTTTGTACTAGACTGGGATTGGTTAGCGCAATCAGTAATCACAGTTCTAATCCAGTCGAGCAAACATGCCCTATTGGTTGAATATTTGTCCGACTATCATGATATAAGTATGTTTCTCAATGCAAGGGTGCATGCACAGTACTCTATTCAAATTCTTATTATATTCTAACAATAATGCTAGTTTATCTAGAACTCATTATAAATGTTCTCTGAAAATTTGATATTACCCCTTGAAACTATATTTTCCTCTACTAAAACCCATCTCATTTTGTTATCTTGAATAAAGCTCATTTACTAGCCTTCAACTAAACAAATTCTTTAATTAAGTTTGACTTTTCAAAATTTGCATTTTTCGAATGCCTAAACTGCCCCTATTAATACTTGGATAGGATTTTTGGATCAGTTACTTGTTACATCCATTTAATTCATGTCATTCATTGTATATTCAATGTATTAACTTTCAAATTGTTATACTCAATAATAATACTAATTCATAATTTTGTGCATTAAATATATAAGTTAATTTACCAACCAACACAACAATAAGCCTAAAACAACTTCGGCTAATACTCCAGTCCCTAATCCACAAAACAAAAGCTATATATGTTTCGCGTAATTTTTATCTACAAAATAGTCTAATTTACCTATTCCATCGAACCAAAATTTAAAGGGTCTAATTTACTTCCAAAATGATCTAATTTACCTACATAATTTATGTGCATTAGATTAAAAGCTTATTTAATTGCCTACAAGCATAAACCCACAACATTCGAACATTATCTAATATCACTAATTTTTTTTTGAAATAGGTAAATTAATTTAAATGTAGGTAAATTAGTATAATATCTTACAAGTAGGTAAATTAATTTAAATGAAGGTAAATTAGTATAATATTTGTATGTAGGTAATTACATGATTCAAAATGTAAGTAAATTAGTACAATATTTTATAAGTAGGTAAATTAATTTGTATGTAGGTAATTACATGATTCAAACAATATTATTTTTTCCATACAAGATATGTCTTTTTTTTATTTGGTAAATTAATGTATATATGTTACTAATATTTATGATACAAGAAAGGTAAAATATCCATATGAATTTAATTGCTCGGATAACTAATAACATTTATTGACCAAATTAGGATTTTGCAACATAAGTTGTAAATGTATTGTAATAGGTGGTCATATATTTGTCTACATGGCGGTCTATTTGAAATTTGGGTTTTATTTGAATGTGTAAATTTAGGTGAGTTTTTATTTAGAAAATAGGAGTTTCAAATATCTATATCTAAAGAACCCATTATATTTGATAGAAAGAATAATACAATAATTATAGGAATTAAAATAAAAGTTATTAATGTGATGTAGGAGAATCGGCATAATTTTGATCGAACCGAAAAAATAAGGATGAAAATATAGTTTATAACTGTCGAAGCACGTGTCTATGACATGCCCTTCATCCTAATCCTAACAAGGTGGTTGCATAACTCGATCTTGAACCTAACAGATAATTAACCCACTTCAAGATAGCTTAGGTTTTCAACTAGTCTTCATGCACGCATTTTGAATCACGGCATGCTAAGCACGATTTACACATTTTAAATATATTTATATACATGAATTGACAAAAGGAAAGTCAAATATTTGAAGTAAATTAATAATCTTAGATCATGCTAGGAAAAAACCCCTCACAAACCAATCAAAGCAGCTGAATTCACATAATAAAATCGATTTTTCAATTTCCATCTACATTCTATTGAATTTGCATTAAGAATAAAGAAAATAATATTTAATAAACAACTGATTGAATCACATTATTACTAGCCCATTGTGAGGTCAAACCCACCCTCTTCCCCTTAGTATAGATAATATCATATGTTAAAAAAAAAAAAACAATCATTTAACAACTAATTTAATCACATTATTATGCGTGTGGGAAAAACTTTTTTTATAACCGGCATTACACACCTCTTAAGATGTTTTGAACGTGTTTAAAAATAGAGAAAATAATATTTAATGAACAACTAATTGAATCACATTATTGCTAGCCTATTGTAAGGTACTAATTAAAAAAAAACCTATACAAAAAGAATTAATTATTAAAAAAAATACTGTTAAAATGACGAAAATACACTTGTATTATTTGGTGCATTATTTTGGGCTACTTTTGAAATTTTTTGTTTTGGGGGCATTTTCGTCCAAAACATTTTAGTAAAGCTTGTGACCCGAAAATGGGTTGTTGGCTTTATATATAAAGATTTGGAATAATTTAGTGTCCTCACTTGCTTGGAATCTAAGGAAATAGCGCCTGAACAGCTTTTAAACCAACCTAAGAATGTTATTTCTCCGATACACCCCAAACCTTATTGTTTTTCTATTTTGGATCAAGCTCCTTTGACTTATTCAATGTCATCATTTTAGTATTTAAAAGATTACATGTCTTCATTATTGGAATCTCATCAATTTTATTACTGGTTGGAGTCGTAGGGGCTTGGCTTGTGACATCCCACATCGCCCAGGGGAGTGATCCTTATATGTATATTCCCATCTATATCTAGCACGAGGCCTTTTGGGAGCTCACTGGCTTCGGGTTCCATCGGAACTCCAAAGTTTAGCGAGTAACGCGCGAAAGCAATCCCATGATGGGTGACCCACTAGGAAGTTCTCGTGTGAGTTTCCAAAAACAAAACCGTGAGGGCGTGGTCGGGGCTCAAAGCGGACAATATCGTGCTACGGTGAAGTCGAGCCCGGGAAGTGGTCCCGCCCGGACCCCAGCTTCTATGACTGAAACCTGGGCTGTGAAGCCCAATTGCCCTCTATCACTTGCTCCACGCGCAGCACGCAAGGCCTTCAACCTGCATTCAACCGAGGTGGACCCCACCCACGTGGGTGTGTCCTCCGGTTTGTCAAGTTTTGTCTGTAGCCAACTGCTACTTTTCTTCATTGGGTGGTGGTGGTAATTGGACCATTGGTTAATCCAACGGTCCACATTCAAATATTTTTTTTTAGTTTTATATTTATATATTTATTGAATCCAACGGCTTAAATTGATTATAATCAAATCTAACAGTAAAAAAAAAAAAAAAAAAGATCTAATGGTCCAAATTAAAATCCAACGGCTAAAATAATTTAAAAAAAATATTTAAATATTTTCATGTATTGATTTAGTGTTTTTTCAAAATTTATCGGAATTTAAATATTTTTAGATTAAAATGTTCATATAATTAATTTAGGATAGTCTACATAATTTTTTTTAAAGTTAATTTAAAAAATAATTAGCCTTAATTCATTTTTTGATAATCTCGAGCTAAAATTTTTGGCTAGAAGGGTTGGAGCAGAAAAACTGTTTCTAGGCTAAATATTTTTAGGTTTTAGGTCACCATTAGAGATGGTCTAAGAGGGATGGATTGTGACATCCCACACCGTCCAGGTGAGTGATCCATATATGTATATTCTCATCTCTACCTAGCACGAGGCCTTTTGGAAGCTCATTGGCTTCGGGTTCCATCGGAACTCCAAAATTAAGCAAGTAGTGCACGAGAGCAATCCCATGATGGGTTCCATCATGTGAGTTCCCAGAAACAAAACCGTGAGAGCTTGGTTGGGGCCCAAAGCAGACAATATCGTGCTACGGCGGAGTCGAGCCCGGAATGTGGTGGGGGCTCGGGCCGGGATGTGACACGGCTCGTGTGTAAAATCGTTCAGATCAGTAATCCTTGAAAACATGATTACGTGTAAATTTTGATAGGAAAATGATTGTCAAATTAGGATTTTAATAGAGTTTGAAATTTGGGTGTGGTCAATTAGCATTTAAAAGATTTTAAAATCTAGGTGTAGTCAAATTACAATTTAAAAAGATTTTAAAGAGAACATCCAAATTCGCGTGCAGTCAAACATGATTTAAAAAAAAAAAAAATTGTAGTGAGAATGCTACAGGTTTACTAGAATTTTAATGAATGAGGGATTTTGATGGATTTGAGTGTGGGTGATACGAATACGAAATGCCATAAACAATAAAACCTTCCCCCTCTAATTTGTGTTCACGCCAAACAACATAACCTGCCAACCTCGTCGAAACACATATTATCGTCCTCTTCGATTTCATCTTCTTCATCCTCATCCATCGGGGTTTACCCCTTTCATCTCTGTCCTTCAACTCAGTTGTCCTTTAAACCAGTGCTCAAGACCACAATTTCTCCCCTGAATTTTTCCTTTTTATGTTCCTCCTCAAATCATTGGTGGCGGCCCTGGAGGCTGATGTGGTTGGGATCTATGGCCATGTTGATCTCTGTCGGCAGTGGGTGTTAGAGTTCCTTGATTGTCAACTAATTGAACTGATTGACGTTCTTAAGAAATTCATAGAAATCTATAATAGAAATACATAATAATTTGTCATAATTTTACATAAAATTATTAAAGTTCATTGAAATCAGTCACTTAAAAAAATCTATTGCCACCCAGTACTACGGTTTGGCGGCACTCATCTTTTCTTGGAAGTGAGCCGTTTTAGGTTCGAATCTCGTGGATGTCGATTTCGATATCAAATTAAGCTGCCCATTATGTGGCTTAGCCGAACTCCCCTCCTTTTAGTGTAAAAATATCGATATAATAAAGAAAACCATTAAAATATTTTAGAATCTAAATTTATCACTCTCTCAATTAAAAGATGTCATTGATTCCGATGTAGGAGAATGGACACACGATTGATCGACTTGAAAAAAAACAAGGCAAAAAAATAACACCGCCTATTATCCTTTTTTGAAAGACCACCGCCTATTATCTCACTCCCAATTCCCGCCAATTATCTCATTCCTCCCTAATACCTCTGATATCTTCGCCGGCCGTGGATGAGCTCTCTTGATCTTGGCTGAGCTCTTCCGAACCTGATTTCTTTTTCTGCTTCCGTCTCTCTTTTATCTGGTATGGCTATCTTCTACGCTTCTTCTTCACCACTTCTTGAATCTTTGATCTCTGGAAATTGCGATTTTCTGCTTCTTCAGAATTGATGAAATGTGTGACTGAATTCATTGTCTCAATTGTCTTTTCCTGCAAATATAGTTTCTCGATTTATGTGATTTGTTCATGTGCTTTCTAAATCCTTAATTTTCGAAGTTTATCAAGAATTTCAAATACTTCTTTCTCCCGCTCATCCCCAATTTAAAAAATTTTACGAGCTCGATTTTCCCACACTGCAGCCCTAAAACCAGGGCATCATCCAACATTTCGCAGAACTTTCGATCTCGCTGCCATCTGAATTCGCGGTACGGTTGTTCACGTTTCTACTAATTTTTATGCGTGATTTCTTTTATTTTTCTTTTCATAATTTATGTGAATTTTCTATGTGGGTACTCAGAAATCACAATTTGTTTATAAATTGTTAGATAATTTAGATGAATTCGCCACAATACGGCTCCTCTAGCATTGAGGAATTTGGCCGATTTCTTGAGGGAGACCTGCATGGTTCATCGGAGTCCGAAGATGATACTGAAAAGCAAAAAGCGGGTAACTATTTTGGTGGGTTTTCAAATTACAGTACTAAAATGTGTGCACTATGTTCGCTTTGGCTTTACCATGCTAATATGTCCAGAAGCGTCGTCGAAGGAGGCGTGTACTCACCCTGGTTCCTTTCAAGATATGTGTTATGTGTGCGGGCTTCCCGTAAACGAGAAAGATTTGGGTACGAAGACAAGGTATGTGACATGTATTCATAATTTGTTGCTATATTTTGGAAAGATAAACGTATGCTTGAAAAAGGCTTAATCGTTTCATGTATCCATTTTCTGGTAAGGAATGACTTCCTAATCTATTGGTACCTATTGCAGGGATTGATGCTTAAAAATGAGGAACTTGAGAGAGTGAAGAAATTAGGCATTAAGAAATTGCTGCACCGCAAGAAGCTTCACTTACTAGTTGATCTAGATCACACACTCCTTCATTCCGCCGATTCAGGAGAGGACTGCTTGCAGAGCCAAACAGATGGTCCCCAAGGTTTGTAATGTTTGTACTTATATGTATTTTAACATATCTAGTGTTTCAGGTTTAGTTTATACGCTCGTTGTGGTTTGTTCTTTTTCTATTTCTTTGAATGTTTTATACATGCCTGTGCACGCAAGATGAATGCAAAGCGTTGAGGCCCTCTGTTAGGTCCTTCTTAAGGGATGCCAGCTACATGTACGAGATGTACATGTACACAGATGGTGAACGATCGGATGCGCTCGAAAAGGCTAATTTACTTGATCCGTCAAAGGAGCATTTCGGTGATAGGGTGATCTCACGTGACGATGGTGCCCAAAAACATCAAGAAGGCCTAGATATTGTGCTTGGACACGATAATGCAGCTGTGATCCTTGCCAATACAGAGAATGTAAGTGATTTTTTCCCGTGCGATTGTCACTTAACAGAGAAATATTTTGATTCTGTAATTGAAGGTTGTGTTCTATAGGGATGGACAAATCATTGGCAAAATTTGATACTGGTTGAAAGGTACGGGCCTGATGAAACCAAGTCCGAGGGAGCTCTCGCAACGGTTCTAGAAGCTCTCAAGGAAATTCACAGAATGTTTTTTCATGTAAGTGTGGTTTCGTGTCTCTGTAATGTTAAAGGGTTTTGAGGTTGTTTGATTTTATGTTTTCATTTTCTAATATATTGTTGGTGGAACCTCATATATAGGAACCGGAGGGCGATGTGAAAATGGTGAACCATTTGGCCTTTTCTTTTCCGGATTTCTGAAATTGCATTGACTTTTTCCTGTCATTTTATATTTAATATATATATATATGTATGTATATTGTTGTAGGTTATCAAAACATTGAAAGCCGAGGTGTTGAAGGGGCAACACCAGATCGTCTTCAAAGAGTTTTTTACTTCAGAAGTTCCCCAGGCTTGGAAGGTGACAGAAAATCTGGGATCGTGCTATGGTGTACGGGGGAGATCAGTACGTTTCGTGGTCGATCTTTTCAGCCTACTGACAAGATCGTCTGCAGATGAAGATATCAGAAGCGTTATCTCCTGGGGAGGAGATAACGCTTCGTTCATTATTCATAACTTCCCCAACTTGCACAAGCTTGTGCAAAAGTTGCATGGACGAAATCGAACTCAATGGCTGAAGGATTTGAATGACTATGTAAGTTCTCATTTAAGAAGTATTTTAATTCTTCAGGAAAAAAAATGTTTCTTACGTTTGTTATTTGTCCATAGGGGTTTTACCGGGAGCAGAAAAGAACTTTTAGGCACAGACAAGGGCTACTCCAAAGGGAGCGGCCGGATTTGATTCCAGAGATTCGTTACTGCGGTCAGCCAGGGAAGAAGAGGGTGACGGCATAGAGGTCGAATTGTTTGAGTTTCGGTATCTGTTTGATGTTTCTAGGTTGGTTCAGGTTCCGTATAAAACTATTGTTCTGTAATTTCATGCTAGCCTCGGTGCACTCTCCGGATCAGTTGCTTAGACAGTCTCTGATTAGCCACATGACACGTGGGGATACCTTTTTTGCTGTACATAATCTGAATATCAATCACTACTACAAACCTGCTTTTACACATAATTGCCATCCTTTTCAGTATCTGGTTAACTGTTAATTTTGATTTTGTTTTGAGAGAATGAATTATTTTTATTACAAACTATTTTTTTCCTTCATATTTTCACTATTTTTCTCATTAATACCCTTAAAAAGTTGACTTCAAATTTGAGTCACCTTCTCTCTAATACCATTAAAATTTTGAAACTCTCACTTACACAAGGCAAAATTCTTTATCTAATTTGGTGAAAATGTATTATGTATATATTCCTTACCTAAAGTCAAAATCAAATTTATTATGTATATATTCCTTATTTTGTCATATTTATTCTTCTTCTTATTATTATTTAATTTCAGAATTATTAGTTGTTGGTAGCATAAAGTTGTTGACACCATAAAACTAACATATCCATAATATACGCAAAAAATATAATTAGGAGTATCTTTGGTATCCAAAAACTATAACATGTGAGAAGTTAATTATAATTAATTAATTTGCTTATGTGGGTGGAGCATAATGGGAAAAGACTCGGTGCATATGAGAATGCTTTGATGATGAGAACGCATCAACACAAGCACAAAATGAGTGTAGCGAATATGAGAATGTTTCAATGGATGCGTGGGCAACGGGAAATGACAAGATTGGAACGAGGATATTCAAGATAAAGTAGGAGTAGCCTCAATTGAAGATAAGATGAGAGAAAATCAGTTAAGGTGGTTTGGATGTGTAAATAGCAGACCTACGAATGCTCTAGTTAGAAGGTGTCTTTATGAGAGAGGTTCAGGGCATAAGGGTAGAGTAATTGGAGTTTCCATGATTCATACAGCCGACCATACATAGGTGAAAAATGCTTTATCATTGTTATTAGCCGGTGGAGCATAATAACTGAGTTTTAGTCCAAGTAAAATACCGTTGCATATATTTTTTAAGATTAAGTATCTAAACCCCCCCCCCCCCCAACAAAAAAAAAGACCTTTTAATGTCATTCCAAATAGGTCTCAAAATTTTTTGAACATTTCAAACAAGTATCCAATATATTGAAAAATGTGACATCCATTAAGCTCAGTTAAATTTCTTTTGGTAGCTTGAGTTTACTTTATCTGCAAAAATAATAGAAGGTCATGGAAGTTTACCCTCTACCAACTAACGGTCACCACCACTCCCATCAGGTCATCACCTCCAAACCCAGCGCACAACCACCAACTTCACCTACAATTCAAGCCATCGACATTGAGGAGAAGGTCATGGAGAGTGCTAAAATGATATGTACTTTCATGATGTGGCCACCACCATCTTCACCCTCTCTCCCCACAAAAGAAGAATTGAAAGCTTTACGAGCCAAAAATCGACAAATGAGGAAATTACATGAGCAGAAAGAAATCACATTGAAACCGAATTTGAATTCTTAACCCTCTGTTGCCACATTTATATTTAACAGAAAAATTAACTGGGCTTAATGGATGTGACATTTTCAATAAGTTTAGGTTGGGTACTTGTTTGGAATGTATGAGACCAATTTGGAATGACACTAAAAAGTTTGGAGAGTTTTAGATACTTAATCTTTTTTTAAAAAGATTTAATTTTAGATTTCTTGCGTTTCAAATGAATGTTGTTATTTAATACGATGGTTGAGTGATATTCCTCTTTATTTGTAAATAAAAGATCTTTAGTTCGATTATCGCTAAAAAAAATTTTAAACGATATTATTAGTAATTCCCCCCCCCCCCCCCAACAAAAAAAAAGACCTTTTAATGTCATTCCAAATAGGTCTCAAAATTTTTTGAACATTTCAAACAAGTATCCAATATATTGAAAAATGTGACATCCATTAAGCTCAGTTAAATTTCTTTTGGTAGCTTGAGTTTACTTTATCTGCAAAAATAATAGAAGGTCATGGAAGTTTACCCTCTACCAACTAACGGTCACCACCACTCCCATCAGGTCATCACCTCCAAACCCAGCGCACAACCACCAACTTCACCTACAATTCAAGCCATCGACATTGAGGAGAAGGTCATGGAGAGTGCTAAAATGATATGTACTTTCATGATGTGGCCACCACCATCTTCACCCTCTCTCCCCACAAAAGAAGAATTGAAAGCTTTACGAGCCAAAAATCGACAAATGAGGAAATTACATGAGCAGAAAGAAATCACATTGAAACCGAATTTGAATTCTTAACCCTCTGTTGCCACATTTATATTTAACAGAAAAATTAACTGGGCTTAATGGATGTGACATTTTCAATAAGTTTAGGTTGGGTACTTGTTTGGAATGTATGAGACCAATTTGGAATGACACTAAAAAGTTTGGAGAGTTTTAGATACTTAATCTTTTTTTAAAAAGATTTAATTTTAGATTTCTTGCGTTTCAAATGAATGTTGTTATTTAATACGATGGTTGAGTGATATTCCTCTTTATTTGTAAATAAAGATCTTTAGTTCGATTATCGCTAAAAAAAATTTTAAACGATATTATTAGTAATTACCCCCCCCCCCCCCCCGCCGGTGCGCCCCCTCCTCCTCTCTCTCTTCTTCCTCCTCCAATATAAATATTATCGTTCGGTGAAAAAAACGTGGAAAGTTAACACAAGGAAAATTACCAAAAAACTGCCAACTGATAATGGTTTCAACACGTGGAAGCTAATGGCGAGCTTAAAAAATTAAGGGTAAAATTTGAAAAACCAATGCACAATCCTCGGCGCTCACCCAATCCCGTCGGTGACCAACCGAAGCACGGCTCTGCTGGCGTTTTCCGACGATCCTTATCCTTCTCGCCGCCGGCTAAGGGTTTCATTTCTCCTAGCGGCCACCACCGCCACGGCTTCCGCTTCCAAGAGACTGAGCCAGGTAGGGAAATTGGATTTGCGATTCATTTCATTTCCGAGTCAGATTCAGCGGTGGGTGGCTAAACTCAATGCCTGATATCTAAATTTTGGTTTTTTGCTTTGCTTTTTTAGGTATAGCAACAAATCCCTCTCTCTGGTGCTTGAGATTCATGGGTGCTTAAGATTCATACATTAATCTTATTTGTTTTTATGAATTGAATTGAACCGAATTGAATTGAATTGAATTGAATTGAATTGAATTGAATTGAATTGAATTGAATTGAATTGAATTGATTTGATTTGATTTGATTTGATTAAAAAGCACCAGACTTGTTATTTATTCAAGAGTTTTTGTGTGCTTTTTGAATTTCTTTCACCGACAAACAAATAAAGCCTCTCGCTTTCGTGGTGATGTTAGATTCTGATCTAAGTTTTTATAAAGGGTGGCTTAATTCAAGTAAGAATTTTTCAATAAGTTACCATGACAGACTGAAAGACAGACAGACCTGCTCGAGCAATTACTCAAATTGTGTTTTGTTCTGTCATTATTATTAACTAGGATGATGCTATGCGTCATTTCCAGTGCAGTTGTCAGTTGGTGATTCCAAATCCTCATTCAAACAACATCATCCTAGTTACTGAATGAATGCATGCATGCTGGCTTACATTTGCCGGTGTGGTGCAGTGGGTATTCTGTTTTAGCTTCGCATGTACACATACGCGTATGCGCGCGCGCACACACACACACACATTATCAACATGCTACATAAATCTGGTGCACTTGTTTTTCATGTTTGACATGTACATATATGAAGAATTCATTAAAAAGCAACATCTTTGAGGCAATATTTTCCTTGACGTGTGTCTTTTATTTAGATGGATTGGAGGGGCTCTAGTTTTAGTTTTACCTTTTTCCCTGCTGTTTCTTTCTATTTGTCTTTGCTAATTCTTAACAAACATAATATTTCATTTCATAGTGCAATTGGAAACCAGATGTCCCAGTTCCTAGGTTCGAAGATAAATAAGAGCTCTTGCCTTTTGATCCTGTTTACGAGCACCTAAGTTCAAAATCAGAGGTTTCCTGATCTAATTCTGCCCACGTTGTCAGGTAAATTCCTTCTCAGTCTTTTATGGATCAGAACATTTTAGGTTTCATCCTTTCCTTCCGGTGCCCTTTTTCTTCTGTCTTGTCTTATGTTTAACATGTTTCATTTTTGGGGCAGTTGAAAGTACATAAGGCCTCTTGCTTTTTCCTTTGGATGCTATTTATAAACCCACCAGTCTCGAATCAGCAATTTCCTGATCTAGTGCTACCCTCTTTGTCGGGTAAAAATTATATCCATCTCTCAGTCGTTCATACTTCGTAGATGCAGAAAACCAAGGTTTTTTGGCTTTTATCTTTTCCGGTGCTTTTTCTCCCATCTATTGTATTTTCTCTGCTCATTACTAAAATGTTTCATTTCCCCCCATTGCAGGTTGTAATATATAGGGACTCTTGCTTTTGCTTTGATGCTATTTATGAACAACACCAGTGTCAAAGTCAGCAGTTTCCTGATCTAGTGCTACTCTCTTTGTCAGGTAAAAATAATATCATCTCTCATTCGTTTGTAGATGCAGAAAATCATGGTTTTTGGCTTTTATCTTTTCCGGTGCTATTTCTCTACCGTCTTGTCTCTGCTTATTACCAAAATGTTTCATCCCTCATCCCCCCCCCCCCCCGGTTGTACGTTTAACTTTTTCCTTTTTTTGATGCTATTTATGAACACGTCAGTGTCTAAGTCACGATGTCCTGATCTAGTGCTACTCTCTTTGTCTGGTTAAAATAAAATCCATCTCTCAGCCGTCTGTAGATGCAGAAAAACCATCGTTTTTGGCCTTTATCTTTTCCGGTGCTATTTCTCTACTGTCTTGTTCTGCTTATTACTAAAATGTTTCATTCCCCCGTTGCAGGTTGTAATATATAGGGACTCTTTCTTTTTCCCTTTTGATGCTATTTATGAACACGCCAGTATCAAAATCAGCAATTTCCTAAACTAGTGCTGCTCTCTTTATAAGGTAAAGTTATATCCATCTCTCAGTTGTTTGTAGATGCAGAACTCCATGGTTTTTGGCTTTTATTTTTTCCGGAGCTAATTCTTTAGTGTCTTGTTTCTCTTATTACTAAAATGTTTCATTTCGCCTGTTGCAGGTTGTAAATATAGGGGCTCTTGCTTTTGCCTTTGATGCTATTTATGAAGCACATGTGTCAAGATCAGCGGTTTCCTGATCTAGTGCTACCCTCATTGTCAGGTAAAAATAAAATCCATCTCCGAGTCTTTTGTAGATGCAATTATACAAGGTTTTTGGGTTTGATCTTTTCCGGTGCTATTTCTCGTGTCTTGTCTCTGCTTATTAGTTATTACTAACAAATAAAGTGATATGTGGGTTAAAAAGTTAATAATTTAAAAAATAAAATTTACCATTACTTATATAGAAACACGTACTGTATCACTCGTGTTCCGATCAAAATGAAATATTTCTCGTGGTTTAGGTCTTAGGTTTTGGGCAACTATAAGCCATGAAAATTAACCTAAATCAAGGAAAACACGAATCAAAACCAATATTATAAGTTTTGATATAATGGCATAAAACGTAATTTTTGGTTTATTTGAGAGCATTAGTGTACTTTAAAGATCAATTTATCTTATCTAAGCCCTAAATCTAAAAATCCCTATTAATTATCTGTCGGTTCCTATATATTTTCGTTAGGGTTAGGATTGCTAATCCTAGAAGGATTAGGACTATTACTTTTCCCAGCTCCTACATATTTTCGTTAGGGTTAGGATTGCTAATCCTAGAAGGATTAGGACTATTACTTTTCCCAGCTCCTATATATTTTCGTTAGGGTTAGGGTTGCTAATCCTAGAAGGATTAGGACTACCACTTTTCCTATTCCTATTCCTATTCCTACGAGGTTAAGGAATATTGATGGTGTATTGTGTGCCTATAAAATAGCATGCCCTGTGGCTGTGATTCAATTGCGGTAAGCAGCCCTGCTTGTATTTCTCTCGCGATCGCATCCTAATTTTGAAGTCTCTCAGTTCGATTCCCTTTTCCCTTTTCAGAATAAAAAGTTGTAATTAAATCAGATTCATGCCGGTCGCCATGAAAAGACCCCGCGGTAGCAGTACAATAACCCAGTCATCCCCAGTAGCACCACCACCACCACCTCCACCGGCTTTGGCCTCTAATGATCATGTTCATCACTCTAAAAGACAAAAAATATTCTCAACACCAGCAGCAACCAGGTCATCATCAAAAAATCTTGATCATCTGCCAGAGTCTTTATTGGTTGAAATCCTTTGTCGACTCCCTTGTTTTAAGTCCGTTTCTCAATGCAAGCTCGTTTCCAGGCATTGGTGCACTCTCCTGTCAGATCATCATTTTATCCGCCGTTTTCTATGCGTCCAAAGGAGTCTTGAGAAAAAACCAATAGGTACTGCCATAAGCATGAAAGGGGAGGAATTCCCTAATGGAGTTTCGCCATCCTCTAGGCCCCTAGCTCAGTTGTTCAATAGGCTTATGAGTATCCACGGTTTGAAACAAGAGCCAATTGTGGTAGGTGCCTACAACGACTTAGTTTTGTGCTGCGCAAGCGAGTATAGTCAGCGCGACTACTACATCTGCAATCCACATACAGTCCAGTGGGTTCCTCTTCCTCCCCCACCTCAAGTCTACAATTATGTAACGGTGGGGTTCACCTGCGATCTTCCCTACTATGACTATAAGAAAGATGATCAGCAAGGGGACATCATCCAGCTTAATGCGGAGTATAAGTACAGGGTTGTGAGATTAATTGATCCTCGTGTTGATGACGATGACGATGATGATTTACTTTCCTGCGAAATCGAAGCGCAGGTCTTCTTTTCTGAGACCGGTGAATGGAGGGAGTTTGTTTTATCATCCCCATCAGCCTTTGCAGTAGGAGAACTGTGTAGAGAGAGTACTGGCGTTGCTTCCAACAGAATGCTGTATTGGCTAGGCGGTGGAGGAGATTATCTTATTGGGTTGGATCCGTTCATGATCGACAACAGTGATAGTACTAGAACTCATTATAAATGCTTTTTCAGTGAGTGTGGCGAGTGGGATTCCGGTTCAATGGATTGCCTAGTTACGTTTGACGGGCGTCCGCGGATGTGCGTGTACTACTCTTCTACTCGCACTCTGTCTATTTGGGAGGTCAATGAAGCAAAGGAAGGTGATCAGACGGTCATGATCCACGGGGGAGCAGGCAGTTTGTGTGTGAAACCTTATAACAGCGTATACTTGGGGGATGAAGAAATGGTTGTGATTAGTCCAAATATAGATCATATTGTTGCGGTTGTTTTCGACCCGAATAACGAGGATTTGGTGTATCTGGTTATAGATAATACCAGAGACTGGAGCAAGAGAGACGTTATCAGGTGCAATACTCGTACAAGAGAGATGTCAAAGGTGTCTACAAATCCGACAATCTGTTGTTGGCACCTCTTTCCATTTGTGCTTCCGTGGTGGCCGACTCCAGTCCGTCAACTACCACAACGTGGCGAGCCCAGGCCAGACCTCTCAGCCTGATTTGATAAAATAAAGAGATGAATGTTTGTATCATGTTTCTATCCAAGACTGATGAATAATAGGGTGGGATGTCTTCTATGTTTAGCTTTGCTCACGGTATGTTACCTGTTTGCTATCATTCTGTATAATTTAGTGTTTTTGGTTAAGTATGTGTACGTGTGGATAAAGTTTTAAGAGTTTTCGGCACCTCTCAATTTCTTTTCAAGTTGGATGATCGGAAATGTTCCCTTCGCATTATGTAGGCCGAGCATTCTTTTAGTGGAACATCTAGCTAGGTTCAACTCTCACGACCTTGGAAGATTGCGCACGGATATGTATTCACAAATATTATAGTGCACTGACAAAAACAAGTAAACAAATTATTTGTATTGCACTCACAAATATTACAACACAAAAACTCTCAAAGACGCAATATTAAAGACAATTTTAAAATGTACGACACTCTCTTATTTTCTAGAGACAAACTCTAGATGACTCACTACCATCACTTCTTGCTTCTCACTTCTTGGTTATTTGCTTGCTTGCTTGTTTGATACAAATGGGTTGGATGCTTTCTCCTTTTATAGGGCCTAGTTGGAACTTTGGAGAAGCATGGAACATCATGCTAGATTATTTCACTAACTTCCTTTGCTAAAGTTGTTTAGAATTAATTGCACTAATCTTGCATGTTGGTACGTAGAAACCTCACCATTCTTCTAGACTTTTTCTAGCCCAAGTGCTAATTAATTTTCATGCTCTGAGCCCTTATTCTTTGGGCTGGTGTTGATCTTTCAACGTGGTAGTCATCCCTCAAACGTAAATCATTAGTTTTTTCGTTCTTCGGTTCTTCCATTGAATAAAGGAAAATGTGAGCATTCTTTTTGTTAGTATTTGTTTTGGGTATACATGTTAGGACTGAACCAGCTACAGATGTCTATGTTTTTAATAGCCTTTTTTTCCCCCCTTGAAAATACACACATGAATAAAGCCTTGGAAGTATAAATTGGTTTCTTAGAGCTATCTAGTGCTCTATTAAACATGAATGAATATATTGCGTCAAATTAAAATCATGTCATATTAGAATCTTAGGTTACCAACTGATGCCACCACATGCTAAGCCTCTTTTTATAATGCATGATGCTCAATCCCGTGTTGAATGCTAAGAATCCCAAACTAAATTGAACTATTTTGCTTGCTTCGATATAGTTTGAGTCACATTTATCTCGTACAAGAAAAGTGTCAAGATAATTCATTATTAAAAGATAATTATCATGACTAAAAATCATAATATTATCCTCTAATAACAACAAAATTATTGTAACTTTCTTATCCGACGATTAAGAATCATTCTTACTCAACGGCCTCGATCGCTTGGGCCGATGATGTAAAATCAAGTCCAAACAATTATATGGGCCGATAGCGTAAATTTGGATCCAAACAATATGTAAAATTAACACAAATCATGTTCTCTATCGGACAAAACTTAGATCAATGCTATTGACTATAGTGTGGTTTATATAGCGGTGTTTTAATTAATTAAAAAATAATAAACAATAATCCATGGAGTATTTTTATCCTTAAATTGAATAAATCAAAAGAAATTTAAGTGAGAAAAATAAACAGGAGCGCGCTGAAATCATTTCCATTGCAGTATGCATGCATTAGATTTAGTTAAGATGTTAGTCAACTTACCAGTGGAATTGCAGGGTAGAGCCTCTGTGTCTTAGTCAAAGCTGCTAAGAGATATTGCATTTTATTAAGGGCATCTTCATTAAGACTGTCTGTAAGTTCAACAATGCTTGAATCATCTTTCAGATTTGGTGCTTCTCGAACTTCCGTTGCAACCTTTCTTGCATATGAGGGCGCTTGCACAGCATATAAATAACCCACGTAAGAGTGCACGCCGTTGTGTCTTTGTCGGCAATTATTTTAATTATTGAAATGGTATAAGGATTTAAAAAATATTAAAAATGGAAATAAAAACCAATAGGTACTGCCATAAGCATGAATGGGGAGGAATTCCTTAATAGAGTTTCGCCATCCTCTAGGCCCCTAGCTCAGTTGTTTAAAAGGCTTGCGAGTATCCATGGTTTGAAACAAGAGCCAATTGTGGTAGGTGCCTACGACGACGGATTTGTGCTGCACAAGCGAGTATAGTCAGGGGTGTAGAACTTTGAATATGGATTGTTCCAATTTCTTTTTTAGTCGTTTCTCATATTGATATGCTCTTGGATAAATCCTGAGAAATATTCCCTTTCGGGATACTACAAAATATCATGGGTCTTCAAGCAGCAAAGTGCACAAATTGTAGGTTTAAATCCATAAAAACCCCATTCTGCAGATTTGACCCATAAAGGCGGTCCTCGGGGTTGTATATTGAATTCAGGAGGAGGTACAAATTCCATTGTTGCACAAATTGTAACCTAAAAAGAAAAAAATAAAATCTAGTAAATAAAAAGATATATACAAAAATAATTAACTAAGAATATGATAAACACAAATTATTTAAAACAATCCCCAGTAGCAGCACTAATTTCTTGATAGGTATTTTTATAACATGCAAAAGTAAGGATAATAACACTTTAAATACTTGTAAGAGTACAAGGTAATTGTAATATAGATGGCTCTAGCAAGATCATTTTCCACAGGGATTGAATGAATAATTTGTATCAAACCAAATCTTAATTAATTACTTAAAAAAAATTTTTGAAAAAAAGGTGATTTTGTGATTTAAAATAATAAAAATTAATGTAATAGAAAATAATTACATAAAGTGACAAAATAAAATAAACTAAAAGAAAACAGTTTTAGAAATTAAAATGTAAAAGCCTAGGGTTCCGCCGTCACCTTAATAATCCTATATAGTTCTTCCAATAACTTAATTATTACACATGCATATTTTGAAGGTTATATTTTCCTAATATATGCCTACTTGGACCCCCAACATAGAGCGTATATCGAACATGCAATTCATCTGTGGTATTCAGATCAAATCTAAACATGCTTGACTCATTAAGTTTTGTAAAACCTTTTGAAAAACCATACAACCCTTAAGACGTGGTATTCATGTTAAGTGAACTTGCATATATTAACCACAAGAAGCCTTCGTCAATTTCAAGGACCGACCTCCGACCAAAATTGTATCAAATTACTTTTTCTAAAGATCCTAATTGCAGCTAAGCATTAAGACAATTAGATAGTTTAAACCAGTAATTAATAATTCAAAACTTGCATGCATAATATCATAAGCAAATTGAAAAAAACCTACATATTCTTGCTAAGACTCATGCCTTCACCCTAGCAAATGGAAATTAAGTACGAACTATCATAAACAAAATATTATTAAAAACATGGATAGAAAACATCTTGAAAATAAACTTAAATCTTCCAAATTAATGCGTCCCTAAATTTTATGTGTTCTTCGCCTCTCCAAAAACCCTAATAGCTAAAAAACCTTATTTATATTACTAAAAAATAAAGCCTTAAAAGGTCTTAGAATAAAACTAGGAAATATAATAAAATAATAAAATAGAAAATAAAAGGTTTCCTATCTGAACAAAAATTCGTTCTCAGAAAATGAGACTTTTGAGAGATCAAATCAACTCTGATTTGGTCCCAAAATGTCTCTTTTGAAAGCTGAAGACGTCCCCTACAAATCATGAGAAGGAATTTTCCTCAAAATATGTCATATTGACCTCCAAATTACCCAAAATGTCTAGAAATGTCAATCTAGAAAAGCTGAGCGCTGGGGCATAATTTCATTGCCACGGTCAAACCCAGCACCCTTTTGGCATTATGATTTGGGGTCTTTAGCCATCTGGGTCGACCCGAACAATGGCAAAGATGGATCTTTTGCTCCCTCTGCTCCACTTTGCCCCTCCCATCTCCTTCTTCCTTGCTTCTCATAACCTGAAAACCCATAAAACCTAGAAGACCAAACCCAGAAAACATAAAACGCGTTGATCGCAAACCTTCCATATCTTTCACCTTCAAGCAAATTGCACATACACCCCACCGCAACTCCTTAATTTTAACTCTATTTTTAGCTCTGTGGTTTGATTTTGAAGATATATAGTAGAAGGAGTTGGACGGGAAAGGAAAATGGAAGATATGGAGAAAAAGGAGGAGAGATCATGCGAGCAAAGAAAAGGGGAGAGACAGAGAATTCTAGAAAATAAAAAAGAATACCAAAAAAAAAATTATTATCTTGCTTTTTAGTCCGAAACTACGTCAAATACTTTACTAAGTTAGTCTATTCTAAATCAACCCAAATTAATCGCTGAAGTTAATCAAATTCGAAATAGTACGGTGCAACAAATGCACCGATAAGGTCTTAGGTTTTGGGCAACTATGGCTTATAAGAATTAACCCAAATAAAGTCAGACATGAGTTGAAACTAATATTATAAGTTTAAATAAATGGCTAAAATGTAATTTTGGTTTCAGAGCATTAGGGTTAGGTAGGGATGGGCAAAATATCCATGGTTACCCGTCCATTTAAACTTCATAGTTACGGTTATGGGTAACCGTTTAGATAAATAAATGGTTATAGGGATAACCGTTTACCTGTGAAATTTAAATGGGTGGTTATGGGTATTAACCGCGATTATAAATGGGTAACCGTTTACCCATTTATTTTATATATGTAAAATTAACACAAATCATGTTCTCTATCGGACAAAACTTAGATCACTGCTATTGACTATAGTGTGGTTTATATAGCGGTGTTTTAATTAATTAAAAAATAATAAACAATAATCCATGGAGTATTTTTATCCTTAAATTGAATAAATCAAAAGAAATTTAAGTGAGAAAAATAAACAGGAGCGCGCTGAAATCATTTCCATTGCAGTATGCATGCATTAGATTTAGTTAAGATGTTAGTCAACTTACCAGTGGAATTGCAGGGTAGAGCCTCTGTGTCTTAGTCAAAGCTGCTAAGAGATATTGCATTTTATTAAGGGCATCTTCATTAAGACTGTCTGTAAGTTCAACAATGCTTGAATCATCTTTCAGATTTGGTGCTTCTCGAACTTCCGTTGCAACCTTTCTTGCATATGAGGGCGCTTGCAGAGCATATAAATAACCCACGTAAGAGTGCACGCCGTTGTGTCTTTGTCGGCAATTATTTTAATTATTGAAATGGTATAAGGATTTAAAAAAAATTAAAATATGGAAATGTACGATGAATGTACCTATAATGGTGTTTAATTGTCAAAAAATATGTAGACAGATAAAAAATGGGTAATGGTTTAAAAAAAAAAAAAAAAAAAAAAAAAAAAAAGATAAATGGGTGTTAAACAGTTATGATTAAATAGGTATGGTTAACCGTTCATAAATGGTTATGGGTATGGGTATAACCATTGAAGCAATTACCCAACGGGTAAACGGTTATGTGGATACGAGTATAAACGGTTATGGGTAAATAACCGCGGTTACCCGTCCGCCATAATCGTTGCCCATCCCTAGGGTTAGGATTCTAATCCTGCTACTTTTCCTATTCCTAATCCTAGGAGGTTAAGGAATATAGACGCTCCGATGCGTGCGTGTAGCTGTGATCATCAATTGCGGCAACCATACTTGTACTTAATTTTCAACTCCCTCAGTTCCTTTCGATTCTCTATTTTTGCAGTCTCGAAAATGTTGTAATTAAATCTTCAAGTCCATTTGCAGAATCATGCCGGTCGCCATTTGCAGAATCATGCCGTCGCCATGAAAACACCCCGCAGTAGCAGTACAATAACCCAGCCGTCCTCAGCAGCAGCAGCACCACCGGCCTCAGCCTCGGCCTCTGATGATCATATTCATCACTCTAAAGGACAAAAAAATAATCTCAACGCTAGCGGCAAACAGGCTATCAACCAAAAATATTGATGATCTGCCTGACTCTCTTTTGGTTGAAATCCTTTGTGGACTTCCTTGTTTAATTCTGTTTCTCAATGCAAGCTCGTTTCCAAGCGTTGGTGCACGCTCATGTCAGATCATCACTCTATCTCCCGTTTTCTATGCGTCCAGAGGAATCGTAAGAATAAACCGATAGGTACCTCCATAAGCATGAATGGGGGGGGGGAATTCTTTTATAGAATTTCACCATCCTCTACTTCGCTAGCTCAGTTGTTCAAAAGGCTTGTGAGTATCCACAGTTTGAAACAAGAGCCAGTCGTGGTAGGTACCTACAACGACTCCAGTTGTGGTAGGTACCTACAACGACTTAGTTTTGTGCTGCGCAAGCATGTGTAGTCAGCGTGATTACTACATCTGCAATCATCACATGATAATTATGAAACAGTTTCCTGCGAATTTAAAGCGCAGATCTTTTTCTCTGAGCCCGGTGAATGGAGGGAGTTCATTCTATCATCCCCATCAGCCTTTCGGGCAGCACTGTTGGGTCGGTGTATTGGCGTTGCTTCCAACAGAATGCTGTATTGGCTGAGCCATGGAGGAGACTTTATTGTTGGGCTGGATCCTTTCATGATCGATAACAATGATAATACTAGTTCATCTACTACAAGAAGTACTGTTTTTTTCAGTGAAGGTGACGAGGGGGATTGTGTCCCAATAGAGTGCCTAGATACGCTTGACGGGTGTCCGCGGCTGTGCGAGTAAGACCCTCCCACTCGCACTCCCTCTATTTGGGAGTTGAATGAAGAAAATGAAGGTGATCAGACGGTCACGATGCATGGAGGAGATGACAATTTGTGTGCGAGACTTAATAAGAGGGTATATTTGGCTGATAAGGCAAACACACCCGTGTGAAGTGAATGATCACATGCTCATCTTTTCGATCACAACTTCCCTTCGGATCTGAATCGGATGGAGATCGGTCGGATGGAGATCGAGTACAACGAGTATTCGGGTGGGTTTAGGAAGAAAGAGGAAGTACTTAGTCATTAAGGGTATCTCAGTAGTTTCATATCAACTTTTGGTTATAATTATTATAAAATTAAAATTGTGGCTATAATTTTATATAGGGTCAAAATTTTAGTTATTTTTCTAAATTTCCCCAATATAATTGCAAATTGATTAGTTTAATTACCTCTACTATTGTCTCGAAGAATGATTAGTTTTTCTTCATAGTTTTCTGTTAAACATGATTTATATTTTATACTACTACATAATTCCTGGTAGTTGGGAGATATTATGAGTTATTCTTCCAACAATTTATGTACAGCTAGTATTTTATATATTTTTAAGGCAAATGAATTTTATGAGATTTTATTTTTAGATTATATAGCAACTTCCCTCGTGAACCCTAAAAACCATGTGCCTTGTATGGACAAAATATGTCTGACAGTTTCTTGAATGACTTGTTAATCCGACAAGAAATAACATGAAAATAACAAATTAAATGTTCAACCAGTTGATGAGTCGAGTCGTTATCAAGTTACTATTAAGAACCCGATAACAAATCGGTTCATTATTGGGTCATTCGATTAAGAACCAATAAGATATTGTTTACCAAATCTAGATGTTAGACATGACAATTTCTTGCATAACCCATTATAACCCATCACAACTTGTAAACGAATAAGGTCGTTATTGGTTTATCTGTTAAGAACCCCTTAAGATAACGGATTTGACACGACAATCCATCAAGTTAACGAGCATGAGACAAAAACGACACGAACATGACAAAGACAACTCGTTTGGTAAGCCTACCGGACAAAAAGACAAATTTCCCCAAAAAAAAAAAAAAATTCCAAGGGTTGTTTTTCTGTGAATAAAAAACTAATTAGCCCACGTATTAGGATTGTGATGCTGATATGACAGAAGGCAACATTCCGAATAATATAATCTTGCGTCCCCAAACAGATGGAAGCATAGACACACTGCCATGTATCTGAATGACAAAATCCTGAGTCCTATTATTTTGATTAACCTTGATCCATGGTCATGATATTGATATAATAACAACTAGGGTATATGAAGTGATATATGTTGTCATTTCATACCAACATTAACATTGACACATCGATGGATGATGTACCTAATTAACGGCCAACCTAGCTCAAGATCATGTGCTAAACTTTCCAGTGCGGAACAATTGGGCCGTGACATTCCACCACGCTTCTGAGGAGTCTAGGCTCAGTTTCATGATGAAACTAGGGTTTGATACCAGTTCTTAATACAAACTACATCAACAACAATCAGTTTTTTTCCACTAAATATGGTCGGCTATATGAATTTTAGAGCGTAACTGTCTCGGTTTTGCCAATAGCATGACTAAACGAGTAAAACTTGCCCCTTCAACAGTCTGTAAGAGAAGCGTCCTCAATAGCTCTTAACCAATCTAATAAACCCTAGCTTGATACTGAGGTGATTCTGAAAAAAGTGGCTATCAAAAAAAGCAGAGAGCTTTTTTCTGTTTGGTAAACATTCAGCTTTAGCTTTTTTTCACAGTTTTGGGTGAAAAAAAGCCAAATACACAAAGCTGCAAAACCTAGCTTTGAAAAACCAGCTTTTACACATATATTTTACATAAAAGTTTACCAAACACTATAATACTGTTTTTTTTTTTTTTTCAAAAGCACTTTTACAAAAAGTTTACCAAACACTCTGCTGCTTTATTTCATAGCTGCTTATTCTCACAGCATAACAGAAGCGGTTTTTTTTCAAAACATAGTAATACCAAACCAGCCCTAAATGTTTTTCTTCTGGTGGGAGATAAAGAACTGGTCGGGTTCTCTAACAATAGACGAACTACATTGGTCCATAGTTGGAGACAATTGGGTCCTCTAACTAAATCACCTAACGTATTATATTAACCTAGTTCAAGATAGATTAAGTTTCCAATGTGGAACAATTGGATCTTACTATTCCACCACGTTTCCTTGGAGCCTAGTCACAGTTATGTGGTGAAACTAATGTTTGCTAGCAATTGTTAAAAACACATCGGTAGAATTTACACCTAAAACAGTTTGTAAGAAATTAAAGGGTGTCCAAAAGCTCTTAAACCAACATAAGAAATGTTAACTTTTTCCACTGCGAGACACCAAGGTCCTTCAAAATGGATCGAGATCCTATTCGGATCTCATATTCCGAAATTGACCGACCGAATAATCTGGATTGTTGATGAGAGAGAGAGATATGGGATTTGGAGAGAGAGCTTATGTGAAGTGGGCTAGAAGAATAACCTAATAAGGACTGCATAATTTAAATTGAATGATCTGAATTACTGAGTTAGTGGGCTATGGAGCATGAGATCTGAAGAGGATCTCAGTTGCTCCAAAATAATAGATATCAACCTAAGCTATAGCACTACTTCCTAGGACAATGACAACTCTGTCTAAGCAAACCAACCAAGGAAGTAGGATTCTCTCCCCTCCTCTCACATTCTTTATTTTGTCTTTCTCTTTCTATAAAAAAATTAATATAAGATATTGATGTGACTTAACCGTGACCATTCATACAGGATGGGAGGGAAGGGGAGGGAAAAAAAGAGGGAGAGAGAATCCTACTCCAAAGGAAAGAGGGTAGGCTTAGCCTCACAATGCGCTAGTAATAATTTGGTTCAAATTCGCCTTTGGCGAGAATCGAACCTAAAACTTCGCACTTACAAGTGAAGAGAAATACTATTAGGCCGTATTATTAACTGGCAGAAAGATAAATTATTCCACTCATACGATTTCAACGTCACAGCAAGGGCAGTAACCTAATTTGTCTCTAATACATAGACTAATTAATGAGTTATTATAATTAATCATGAACCAGTGCCTTGTGTATTATGAACACTAATCAAACAACGTTGCTTTCGTAATGAGTTATTATAATTAATCATGAACCAGTGCCTTGTGTATTATGAACACTAATCAAGCAACGTTGCCTTCGTAATTAGTCGTAATCAAACAGGGGCCCCCATCTGTTTAAGTATTATAAATCTTGCTTAACTTGTAGTGTGCATTGGTAGATTAAAACATGTGTTGTACCACTTGTATTCCCGTTATAATTAAAAATTTCTCGTGAAGAAGAAGGATATTCTCCTTGATTTTCGAATTTAATATCAAAGAAACATGATTACGAGCTGAATGTGGTACGCTTATATAATTCGCATGGGACGGTGCATGTTTGATTAGAGTCAATCATTCATTATTATTATAATTAAACTTGAGTTAACAAGGTACCAATTGGCACTCAAATCAGAGGAGAAATTTTTTAGTGTTGAGAATATGCCCGGTACATTAAGTATCATAATACAAGTAGTTAGGTATTTGAAAAAAAAAAAAAACAATTCTAACCACTTGTGTTATAACACTTGATGTATCGGTTGAGTTCCCCACACATTGAAAAATATTTCCAATCAGTGATGGGTGATGGTTTGAGTGAACAAAAGAATGATGGCAGAAGTCACCTGAGAGTCGCATACTATATGTGACAGAAGAAGCCTTAAACTCGAGAATATTTTTTGATACAGCGATATTGGAGGTGAAGACCTGGCCACACAAAGGATCAACTACATAATAAGATAGCGAAATTGTTATTTATAAGAATCGAATTTAAGATTTCTCATTTATAAATAAAGTTAAATACCACCAAAATATAATATTAGTAGATGAATCCAAGAATGTTATATTTTCTGAGGCTTGCTCATTTCTTTACTCTTTTAGTATAGATAATATTGTTTATTCTTAAAACATATTCTAATTATTGCACAACAAGAAGAAAAAATAATGCAAATAATGCTGGGTGGAAGATGGACGGGGCAAATCTAGAGAATGGGATGTTAACCCATGCGGTTGCTGCCTCTTTGAATCTTGTGAATCCAAATTGGCTACTCTCTACTCTTTGTCTTACTAATTAAGCTAGATAGTCCCACTAGCTGCCCGACAATGCGAGGGCCTAGCGTTAATACCAATAGCATTCCAATGGGTAAGTTTCGAGACTCAACCATTTAGTTGACAGGTTTTTTTTGCACGGTAAGGACAAATCAAGGCCACACAAAAGCTTAAGAACCTCTCGTTGTTTCATGCATGGAGATAGCATAGCATATGGGACAGTTGTTATATCAAATGCCAAGTTGTGTACGACAATCAATCAATTTTAGCTCCTAATATGAGCAGCCTTGCATCCATAATTGAATGGACCACAAAATGAAACAAGGCAAGTGTCAAGGATAACGTTATATCAAATTTTAAGAATAACAATGAGGCATTAATAATGGGCAAGCGAGAAATGAGTTCCGCACACTCATTTTTCTTATTCTACACTCTTATTTATGATTTTTGTTTCTAAATTTAATTTGAATTTGTTCAACCTAAATGCTCAAAATAAACAAGGGAGTGTAGTGCATAAAATGGGAGGTGCAAAAAACATCGTCTTTTTATATTTTAGTCCAACAGTGATGGTAGGTTTGAGTTTTCTTATATTATTTTCAAATACAGATACCAAGAGTCTTGAGAAGAAAACATTGGAACCAAAACTCAAATATGAGTTTTAACAATTCAGCGTGCTCGCTCATGGTGTTAAAATTTCAAATACAATAACGAAACCTAAATATAAATTTCAATTTGATACAAAACTTGTAAATGGATTGATGTCTTATAGAGGAGAGATTTTTCAATTGTCCAGAACACATTAAATATGTCACATGTTATTATACAAATTGAGAAAAGTTTTTATTTTTATTTTATTTTTTACAAATATTTTTTCACTTATATAATAATATATGATATACATATCCGTATTTCGAATATACTAAAAAATTTCTCACTAAAAAGGACGAACGGTAAAATTTAAAACTAAGATTTTCCGGTGCGTTAGAGATGAGCGAGGCACAAGAATTTGCAACTTGCAAGTGTCAAGTAAAAAAATCGGGGACAATAATTGAGCACATGGTTGAGGAAAAGATAATGATGGAAAAACCAATCATACAATAACCAAGCCCCACCTGACTTATCTTCCAAATTTTACTATGTTAAAAATTAAATGGGATTTCATGACTCATCATCCTTCTCACGTACCCGAGTTTGCCACCAAGGGGAGGGAAAAGTAATGCCTGCTCGCGTGTAAAGCAAATAACACATCTAGCAACTTTAATTGACCCAACATTTGAGATAAGATATCGGGAAAATAATGACCAAGATTTCAAGTTATCACTTTACTTGGCCAATTATCGCTCTTTCTTATGCAAATAAGATAAGCACATGACCAATTGGTCTCGCGGTGATATGTTTACGTTTACTTTTTGTTTGGCAAGTTCTACTCATCCAAATACAAAAACGACGTATATTTTGAAGTGTTTAAAACTAAATGCTTGTTTGAGACTGCTTTGTAAAAGTAAATTAGTAAGTAACATCAAATGCTTCCTCACAAATTCAAACGCTTTTTGACTATCTAGAAAGCGCCGGTTCTACGATCGAGAACGAAAAAAACAGTAAATTTTTATAAATTCTGTATCATCTCATAATTTAACGTAATTTTTGAGAGTTTCATTAACATTTCTTTTATATTGTAACAAAAAATTAAAAAGGGTCTCAAACAAATCCTAAACTAAGATTACGATTAATTGAGTCATGATGTATATAGGTTAGCAAACCATTGTGAAATCACTTTGTAAATATTCACATTTCTAAGAGAATAAATAAAAGGAAAAGCTTATGTGAAATTACCCTGCACATATTCACATAAATTCACAGTTTCACCTTTCACAGCACACACACAAAGAGAATCATGAAAAACAGATTAAAACGACAGAGAGGGACGTCACGGGACAGCCCCGCCGGTTCCGATTCCAACTTAATTAATCGAAACAACACCAACAATTAACCACACTAATTATAATTAACCACACACTAATCACAATCTTAAAATCTTAATCAATCAAGCCGCCGTCGACGGGGGATGTCCACACGATGTCCTTGAGTGCCGGCCGCAGCTCCTCACTGCAGAACTGGTTGTACTCCAACGTATCACCATTGTCCTTCTTCACCTCCACCACCAAAAACGACGGCGTCACGGCGAATATCTCCGCCGCTATCGCCAGCTTCCCCTTCCGCCCGGTCTCCTGCCCCTGCAGCCTCACCATCGAGTCGCTCTTCTTTATCCTGAACTTCCCCGCCGCCGCCACCTCCTCCAGCTTCGAAATCACGCTGCTTGCCGACCGCGTTGTCACGAACCGCAGCTCCTCCCTCTCCTCCCGCTTCTTCTCCTCGAAGAGTGGCGACAGATCAAACCCCTCCGACAGCGATATTATGTGAAACGCGTTCAGCGTCTCCGTCTGCGTCGACGTGATCTTCTCGCTCGGCTCGTCGAACTCCTGCTCCTGTTTCGTCAGTACGACTTTGGGAATCGATTTCTTGAACCAGGAGGAGTCCATGACCTTGGAAATGGTGATTCGGGTACTCGGGTTCGGGTCGAGAAGCTTCGTCACGAGTCTCCGGGCCTCAGACGAGAACCACGGTGGGCATTTGAAATCTCCTCTGTAAATCTTCCGGTACATGGCCACGAGATTGTCGTCTTGAAACGGCAAAAACCCGGCGAGAAGCACGTAGAGGATGACGCCGCAGGACCAGAGATCCGCCTTGGCTCCGTCGTATCCTTTTTTTCCGATGACCTCCGGAGCCACGTACGCCGGCGTGCCGCATGTGGTATGGAGAAGCCCGTCCTGCTTCAAGTGCTCGGTAAAAGCGCTAAGCCCGAAGTCGGTGACCTTCAAGTTGCCGTCCTGGTCTAGGAGGAGGTTCTCCGGCTTCAGATCCCGGTGGTAAACGCCGCGGCTGTGGCAGAAATCTATGGCGGAGATGAGCTGCTGGAAGTAGACTCTGGCAACGTCCTCCCTGAGCCGGCCCTTGGCGATTTTGGCGAAGAGCTCACCGCCGCGGACCAGATCCATGGCGAAGTAGATCTTGGACTTACTCGCCATGACCTCGTGGAGCTCGACGATGTTGGGGTGCTTCACCATCCTCATGACGGAGATCTCCCTTTTGATCTGCTCCATCATCCCCACCTTAATCACCTTCTCCTTCCCCACAACCTTCATTGCCACGTTCTTCCCGCTCTGCAGGTGGCGGGCGTGGTATACCTTGGCGAAGGTGCCGTGACCCAGAAGACGGCCCAGCTCGTACTTGCCATGCAGCAACGAGCTGCCGCCGCTTTCTTTCTGCTCGGACATTGGTAACTAAAACAAACTTTTAAAAAAATACACGAAAGGTGTTGCCTCTGAGAAAAAACGTAACCGCTGCGGAAAACAAGAAAAGAGGCGAATGGATCACCCGTCCTCTACGTGTTTCCGGTGACAATTCCTACCGCCGATGCAGCGTTTGGCACGTACTGAAAGCTCAGGCTTGGGCAGCGAAGCTTCTCTCATCTCTCTGCATTCCCTAACCAGCTTCAGTTTGCTAAGACGATTTAAATATTTAGGGTTTCCGAAAGCACCACCGTTCGCGGCCGCTGAGCTCTTTTAGATTTTGGCCTCTCTTTCTTTTTCCCTTTATCTTCGTTTCATAGCCTCTGCATATATAGCGCTCTTGGTGTCCGAATTACGATTTTACCCCCGTGTCGGCTTACCACTGTGTCAGCGGTGTCGACTGTCGAGCCACTTCATGTAGGTCACGTGTCAAAGCTGGCTTGGTTGTTATTTGGTTACTGACACGTGTTAGGCTTTCTCTTGCTAAAATTTTTAGTTGTAACGGAAATACAAATGATGCATCATGTGTTTTATTACGAGTGGTAGGAAATTTTATTTTTTAAGTTATTAACTTTTTAGCACACATATCCCACCATTTGCATAGTAACACATGGTGTACTACTCCGTGTACCGGTGACATTGAAAAATCTCTCTACAATGTGACCGATACATAAAGTGGTACATCACATATCACTATGTAAATGGTGGGATACGTGTGCTAAAAAGTTAATAACTTAAAAAATAAAAGTTTTCATCACTTTTATTAAAACACATAATGTAGCACTTGAATTCCCATCACAACGAAAAATTTCTCCACAGCCTGGGGATGAAGAGCTTTAGGTTTCTAGTTTCGGATTTCAAGGGAATTTTAGAAATCATAATACAAAATGAGAAAATAATATATTTTTACGTTTTTTTTTATAATTTTGTGGGCCAAATGCGTTTGATAAGGTTTCTCCGAATAATGTGAGGGATGATATGGGACGTGTAACTACCATATGTGATAAGAGCTGTAATTTCATTTTTATCAAAATATGATTTTGGTCCTCGTATTGTTTGGAAAGTATCATTCTGTTAATTTTGCATTTTATATTGCCTAAGATGGTAATAAAGTAAAGTTAAAAGAACGACTGGTGATTGCGTATTTCCTTAAATAGCTAGGGTTGGTTTCATGTATGTATTAAGTGTATTCAAAGGTCAAATGCATTTCTAGAACCTACCCATTCATTGAGGGACACGTGTTCCCATAATTGGAGGTGGACCCCACGCGATTCTTACTTTGCCAGTTGGTGCGTTAATTGGTAAGTGAAAACTCAGAAAACAACCTCATGCATATGAGTCTGACAATCTTTTACACGATGCACGTACGAAACGGCATTAAAATAACGAATTTTGAGTTAATATAGTAATTAATCAGGTTATTATCGGATAACTCGTTAATAACTTGTTAACGTTTCGAGTTGTTATTAGGTCACTTGTTAACAATCCGACAAGATATCGTTTGCAAGACCTATACAGCAGACATGATAATTTCTTGCATGATGTGTTAACCCAATACGAAACGATACAATCCGTTAACAAATTGAGTCTTTATTGGGTCATCTGTCAAAAACTCATTTAGATAACGGATTTGATATTACACGTTAAGATAACGGGTATGACACAAAAACGACACGAATACGACAAAATAGGACCCATTTGTTAGTCTCGACTCTATATGATGGACTGTGCCCGGACATACACCTAACCTTTCATTTCATAATCCGCTTGTGGTAAACTTCATGAGCAAATACTGACATGTTTACTTAGGTGTTCATATTACTTCGGTTTGTGATGTTTTATTATTAATTTCATGAACAAAAAATTGTATAAAGTTAACATCTATTGGATTCCACATGAGATCATATTATGGATACTAGCATATAGGCACACACATGTGAGAAAATTTTTTATTTTTATTTTTGAAATAGAATAAGAGAGGAAGAGAGTGATAGAGAATGTGGGAGCGGAAAGTTTTATTTTTTTATTTTTTTAATTTTTTTAGCTAGAGATATATTAGGATTATATGTAGGTGAGGTTTTGAAAAAAAATAGCAAAATTTGATTGTGTGAAATTACATTTCTGCCCCATATTTCATATTCATGTTCTGTTTTAATTAAAGGGTTAAATAGGTTATTTCATAGGATTTTGGTTGACAATGAATGTTTTATTAATTAACAAAGATTAATAAAGATTACAAAATGAGAAAACAATATATTTACGTTTTTTTTTTTAATAATTTTGTGGGCCAAATGCGTTTGATAAGGTTTCTCCGAATAATGTGAGTGTTGATATGGGATGTGGAACTACCGTATGAGATAAGAGCTGTAATTTCATTTTTATCAAAATATGATTTTGGTTCTCGCATTGTTTGGAAGTTTCGTTCTGTTAATTTTATTGCCTAAGATGGTAATAAAGTAAAGTTAAAAGAACGAGTGGTGATTGCGTATATCCTTATTTTGTTCCTTAAATAGCTAGGGTTGGTTTCATGTATGTATAAGTGTATTCAAAGGTCAAATGCATTTCTAGAAACTACCCATTTATTGAGAGACACGTGTTCCCATAATTGGTGGTGGACCCCACTCGATTCTTACGTTGCCGGTTGGTGTGTTGTTTGGTCAGTGAAAACTCAGAAAACAACCTATGCATGCATGATTTTGACAATCTTTTTCACGATGCAATAACTCGGTACAAAACGACACTAAAATAAAAAACTTTGAGTTAATATGTTAACTAGTCGAGTTACTTTCAGGTAACTCATCAATGACTCATTAACGTTTCAAGTTGTTATCGAATCACCTGTTAAGAATCCAATAAGATATCGTTTACAAGATCTAGTTATTATGCATGACAATTTCTTGCATGATACATTAATCCAGCACGAAACAACACGATCCGTTAACAAATCGAGTTTCTATTGGGTCACCTGTCAAAAACTCATTAAGATAACAAGTTTGATACGACACGTTAAGATAACGGGTATAACACGAAAACAACACAAACTAAGACAAAACAGAACGCGTTTGCCAGGCCTAGTTTCGAGTACTCTATATGATGAACTGTACGCCGACATACACCTAACCTTTCATTTCATAATCAGGTTGTGGTAAACTTCATGAGCAAATACCGACATGTTTACTTAGGTGTTCATATTACTTCGGTTTGTGATGTTTTATTATTAATTTCATAAACAAAAAATTGTATAAAGTTAACATCTATTGGATTCCACATGAGATTATATTATAGATATTATTGATGCGGATTTATAATGGATTGTTGGACTGCTTCTAAAACTTTAGCATGCTACTCGAGCATAATAAAATGAAAATTCAACTTGAAAAACTTGAATCAAATCCCGACACGCAAATAAAAATGTGTTACGTACGGACTCACAGTTATCTTTATGTGTAACTCGCTAAAAAGATAATTTGACATGAGTACGTGTTAAAGCATGTCCCGCTCCGCATCCGAAAACCATCTCTTTCATGTTAGAGTGATTTTCTAAAGCGGTGCAACAAGAGAAAACGAAACTGTTTAAATCACTAGTATTAAGTGAATATGTGCCATAAACTATTTTCTGTATTTGGAATTTGAAGTTTGCTAAGCGTCGATTAATTCTATCTTTAACTTCGGCCGGACTTCATAATATGTCATCATGGATTATCAGGAGAGATTTTTCAGTATGATCGTCACACGAGGTGGTACATCACGTGTCTCTATATAAATGGTAAGTTATATGTGTTAAAAGGTTAATAACTTAAAAATTAAAATCTTCTACCACTTACATAAATACACGTGATGTATCATCCGTATTTTCATCACAACTAAACATTTCTCGATTATCAAAGCCACAAAGACTGAGAGAGGTGGTTGTATTGGTGGTGGTGACTTGTAGCCGCAGTTTGAATCCATAAAAAACATGAGCGGACCGAGGACTAGAGAAAGCTTACGCTTGAAGTTAAACCACTCGATATTTATGGATTGGATTGCTAAAAGCCAAGATAGCTTATGCATGTAATAGTGGATCCATCTGTTACTGTTTCTTTGTCACTAATTTCTAACAAATATCTTCGATTAATGCAGTAATTTTTAACTTGAAGACCCACCGATATATCGTACGTCACTATTATCTCCGCTTAACTTTTCATAAACTTTATTGGTTTTCCAACTCTAATTGAGTTGTAATACACTTTTTGTTGTTTCAAAGAAGGACGATGATGTGATATTATTTCACTATATGTATGTGTTAACTCTAAAATTACAAAACCTACGTGACGCGCAGGCCGAGTAACTAATAAGCTAACTACGTCCTTTGGTTGAATGCGGGGCGTGCCAACTCGTCGGCCGAGCTCGGCCGAGGAGTAAAATTTGATGATGTCGTGTTGGGCGCGCTGTTGACTTCTATATCTTGCGATTGCGACCGAGGAAGGAACGCTCTCGGCCTCTGGGTTCTATAGCCTGAAGACAAGACTACTAATTCTACGGAGTTCACAAATCGTCGGAGCCTGATTCGGTCACTGTGATTATATTCGTAAGAGTATAAGCACGCCGAATCGAGACCAAACTATATGGGCACAGGTACTCAAATGTGATATATGTCTTGATGGTAAACGTAGTTCGGCTGTCGGAATGCCGAACCCTGAAACTTACTTGCGAGTATCCAATCATAAAATCACTCAGCGTCCAATGCGCCGAGCAATGCAATTCGTAACACCCAATTATGCCGGAAAGGCTAGTGAGATGACCTCTACCAATAAAGGTTCGAAAACCCTTATCGGCCGAGACTTAGATAGATAATCGGTCGACCTCGACGCAGTGCTGTTTATCCAAACTGAAGGTGTTTCTCGGTCGGCTGATTCTGCGACAGCAGTGCTGTTTATCCAAACTGAAGATGCTCGCCGGGTGCTTCCACAGTGCTGTTTATCCAAACTGAAGGTGTGTTGACAGGAAAAGAAAAGGAAAAATCTCAAGGTGTTTGAGAGGTTTTGCACAGGGTAATTGTATGCTGATTTTTAAGGGGCCTTTCTATTGCGTGATTTCTTGTATTTATAGCACCTCATTCCTTGAGACCAATTTGCATTCTGATTCGGATTGGGAGTCCTTGTCCCATTTCACCTCTAACTCGAACAAACCTACTCCTACTGGGATTCTGAATTTTCCTTCCTTTTGAGGCTTTATTCCTTGCCGGTCGAGAATCCTGGTCGCACCAGGACTTCCTTGCCCTTTTCTATTTATCCGGACCACTTAGGATAGGATTTGGCCGAC